CTTCTCTGCCCTAGGAGCCTGGGATGGTGGCAGGGGAAGCTTCCTTCCAGGTGCTGGAACTGGCTGAGCTTCTCTGCCCTAGGAGCCTGGGATGGAGGCGGGGAGCTTCCTTCCAGGTGCTCTGCATAATTTCTAATGTCAATCTTAAAAGCAGTTAACAAGTGGACCATTCTGTGACTTGTCTCCGTCTGTGGCAATATTTTGTTTTATACAAGAAAATCTTTTTCATACATCACTGTAAAGGAAAGACGTTCTCAACAATGAGAAAGTCATACACCTCCAAGTATTTATATATCTACTTTTATAAAACCTCATCAACAAATTCTTTAAAGATCTGCAACATAGGGCTGGGGATTTAGCTCAGTGGTTTTGCTGCCTGCTGCGCAAACACAAGGACCTGAGTTCGATCCCCAGTACAAAAACAAAAAAGATCAGCAACATAATCACAGAGAAAAATACTATGCGCAGATAAAGCTGGACAGCCAGGCATGGTGCACATACCTGTAATCTCGGAAGATGGGTGGGTTGAGGCAGAAGAAAACCACAAGTTCTTGCCAGGGATTTAACTCAGTGGTTCCGCCACTTGCCTCCTAAGTGCAAGGACCCAAGTTTGATCCCTGGTACCAAAAAGAAAAAAAAACCCCACAAGTCCTTGCCCAGCATGGGTTACATAATAAATTCAAGGCCACCTGAACTACACAGGGAATCCCTGTCTCAAAAAACCCAAAGAAGGGCCGGGGATTTAGCTCAGTGGTTTTGCTGCCTGCTGCACAAGCGCAAGAACCCGAGTTCGATCCCCAGTACCAAAAAAAAAAGAAAAAAACCCAAAGAAAAATAAATTTTAGATCATCTGAATATGTAGAAAATAATGTACAGATTTAGATTTGATGATGTGATATGCTATGAATTCTTCAAATTATATTCTTAATACTATTATATTTATAATACCACTGAAGCAACTATGGATGTGACAAACATCTTTTACAATCTCTTCTGAAACACAAAGGACAGCTCTATATTTTTCAAATCTCCAATAAGTAAAGAGAAGTTTTCCTTTCCATTTTCTGGGACATGTGGTAGAGTTACAGCCATTTAAGTTTGAACACAGAACACAGGACAATAGACACACTAAATATATAAGAAATATCAAGAAATGCTTGTGGTTCATTCTAAAGTGAGATTTGATATGGTTGGCAGCACAAATCAAGAGGAACAGATAATTGATCACACATTTATGGCTATAAGTTATGCAGTTTGTGGCACAAGTAAACCTGATTTTTCACAAACACTCAAAGGTGCATTCCAGGCAGATATAAGGCAAAATAAGAAACTAACACATGCAAGAAGGTATAAGAAAATAACTTTCTCATCTGGGAAGAGTGGAAAAATCCGCAGATATAAATTCGTAAAGGCATAAAAGTTAAGATGACTATAAAAAGATACAAAAACAGTAACAGGGTTTCTGTTCAGCAAAGAGTATCACTGATGAAATTAATGTGAAGATTAAAAATTATAGAAGGTATTTTCATTCTCTACAAGTGATAAATAACTAGAAGAGACAAAACCTTATTTAAAAACTATCCCCAGCACAAATATGAAAACATAATATATAGTCAAATAAATTACACACAGACTTACACAGGAAGGGGGGGAAAAGGCATAAAAGATGGGGGAAATGGAAATGATTATCTATTCAAATCAGTAAAACTCATCAATTTTGAAAAATTCTGGCATTTGTCAGGAAGAGAAATAGGAGTTACTGCCCCCTGGTGGTGGTAGTGCACATAGTATTAGATTTTAAACTGACACACTGTGTACCAGCAAGCACGCTCCTGAGCATCAGCGACATTTCCTCTGATCTGTTTCTAGGGTAGCACAAAAAAGAATGCTCCCAGTGCATTTATATCATTGACGACTTGAGAAGCCTGCTTTCCCACGACTGTGGAAAAGGCAAATGAAGTGCAATGTTACATCCACATATTTTCTCCAGTATGGAATGAATCATCAGTGGCTGAAAACCTCTGCTTTAGCAGGGTCATGGACACATAAACTCCTGGATGACATGGTGCACCGAAAGGGCAGAAGACCCCACGTGGTGACATTTTTCTAACTGCATTACAAACCCATGCTGATTGACACAAAAAATCTCACAGTCTGTACTTGAACACTTTTTCTCTTCTTTTTTTTCAGACAAGGTCTCCCTATGTACCCCAGGCTGGCCTAAAACTCCTGGCAATGCTTTTAGTTCAGTCTCCTGAGTGCTAGGATTACAGGCATGCACCACCATGCTGGGGACTTCCTCCCTCTCCTATTGCCTTTCGGATTCTACTAGAACAAAAACCCACAAAGGGCTCCACAGCTTGCTGTGCTATGATGACACACACCGGGGGTGTGGAGGCCAGACTTAAGGGGTGAGTGAACTGAAGTTCTATGCTTTATCTCAGCTGTGCCCTTCTGCAGAGGCCACTCCCACTGGCTTCTCCAGGATGCCAACTTGGGAGTTGTCTACAGAGTGTGGGGAATTCAGGAGAACTGAGGAGTTTTCAGGGACTGCAGGCTCCAGCCACATATGGAACAGAACAAATGCTCATGGTCAGCTCTTCCCCTAGAAAGATGTAAGTCACTGCAATGGAAGAAGAGCACCAAGTCTGGGAGGTGACAGTTCTAGGCAGACATGAGTTAAGGCCATTAAGGCAAGGAAGAGGCAGTGGGAAAATCAGAAATGGGTAGAGTAGAAAGCCAGATACTTTCTCCAGGACTGAGGCATAAGAATGATTCCCATAATCAGCATAAAATACAACTAGGAATGGAAACGTTTTCACTTCCACATTGTACATGTTTGGTGTCTTCTGCTCACACTGCTGAGTCCTGTGTTTGATCACTGACAATTGCTATCCTATCCTCTTGTACTCACGGAACAAGCCAGACAGTGTGACCAGTGTGGTGCACCTCTCTGTAGTACTAAAACAAGTAAACAACCAAACCAAACCAAAACCAGAAAACAATAGCCACAGCACTGCTTTTAAAAAAAATCAAAACACTATTTGTAATGTATCACACTAAAGTTTTTTGTGAGAACCTGATTTGTACAGCACTCCACACAGGGTGCTATGTGATAAGTTTCCTATTCTACAGAGAAGCACTTTACAAAGAGTTGAAGGAATGAGCCTACACATTCTGCTTGAGTTAACAAGGGAAAATATCTTGATCAACCCACAGGCAGTTCAAAATATAATATATTGAAAATGCACTGATTATGGATATAATCTAGTAAATATTGCTAGGCTTTGACTCCTTTAAAACTGATCAATACACTTATATTTACCTGTATTTGAGAAAATGTAACACATAGCTTATTTCATAATAAAATACTAAATATCTCATGTAACCTATTAAACGTGCTGCACTGTAAATCACTGGATGTCTTCACTTGGTGTCTTGTAGTTGACAGAGCAGGGACTCACTGCTGCTGCCCAGCATCTTCAGCAAGTATTGTAGCACAGACCACTAGTGTCCAAATAGCATAAAATTCTAAATCAAAGGAAATTTTCCACCGAGTACTTATCACTTTTTCCTTTATGCTTTAGTACTGGACTGAAATCAGGGCCTTACACATGTTACAGAAGTTACTTTAGATTGGAGACACAGCCCCAGTGATTTTACTTTATGTTGATCTGGCTCTTGCTCCATTGTCTGGCCTGGGCTTGCTACTGCAATAATCCTGCCTCAAGGCCCCAAGTGGGTGAGATGAGAGGTGGGCAGCACCATGCCCCACTGAAGTTTCATTTAACTAAGCACAGTGATCCTGGACAATAGTGGTGACCAAGGAACCCCACATCTTATCCAGACATGGTGGCACCTGTCATCTGACCACTCCAGGAGGCTGAAACAAGATCAAAAGTTTACTGCAGCCTGGGCAACGTAGTGACACCTGCTCTCAAAATTTTGAAAATATTAAAAGGTGGAGAGTGCGGTTCAAAGAAAGAGTCCCAAGTTCAATCTTTACTGCGGCCAACGGCCTTGCCTGCCCAGCGGCCCACGCGCCTCCCCTCCTCCTAGCCCTTTTGCGGGCTCCGCTCGTGCTGCCGCCTCCGCCGCCGTCCCTTCCCAGCCAGCCTGCCCGCCGCAGTGCTGTGCAACGTGGAGTTCGTGTGGGCCCTGAAGAAGGGAGACCTGGACGAGGTAAAGGACTACGTGGCCAAGGGAGATGTCAACCGGACACTGGAAGCGGGAAGGAAGCCTCTTCACTATGCAGCAGATTGTGGACAGCTCGAAATCCTGGAATTCCTGCTGCTGAAAGGAGCAGATATAAATGCTCCAGATAAACACCACATTACCCTACTTCTGTCTGCTGTGTATGAGGGCCATGTTTCCTGTGTGAAGTTGCTTCTGTCAAAGGGTGCTGGTAAGACTGTGAAAGTTCCACATGGGTTGACTGCCCTTAAAGCCACCAATAACCAGGCAATCAAAGCGCTCCTGCAGTGATGGACTGATAACTAGGAAAGAACGACTCCCTGTGGCCTCATACTGCTGCCTGTCTGCTTTCAAAGTCATTATGGTACCGAAACCATGTGATTCTTTGTACAGTTTATCCTAATGTTCCTTGTAATGCAGTAGAGGCTATTTGGCCTTCCCTCTTCTTTTTCAGTCACTTTGTAAACCCCATAACTATGAAGCAATTGCTTGAATAAATTACATACGTACATAGAGTAGAATAGACTGGCCAAGATGGTTTGCAATTTCTTTTTTTTTAACTAGGTTATTTATAATGTATTTGTGAACCACTTGGCAAAGAAATTCACAACACTTAATGTTTATATTTTGAGTAAAGGAAGCTAAAAACATGTCTGCTTTTTGGTACTACATCCATTAGCAAAAGGTTAGTTTTGTTCTCCACTGAAGCAATATTTAACATCTTAGACAAAATCTTGCATGTTCTGTAGTTTTGTATTAAATCATTGAGTCATTTCTTATGTAGTATATCAAGTAAAAACAGGTGGATTGCCTGTTACAATAGTTGCTAACAAATTCCCCCGTGGCTTCAGGCTAGTTTCTGTAGACATAGAGTCAAAGACAGTACCTGAGTGTCCCAAGTAGTTCTGTGCACAGCTCACCCCTCTAAACCCATCTCGGCATAGAAGTATGTAGTTGGTAAGTGCATTGTATGGAAGCTGCAAACAAGTAGGTCTTTTTTTCATTTTTCCCCAGGTACTGGGTTTTTAATCTATATGTACCTAATGAATTTTTTCCTAAAACTTCAACCAAGCTGCCGTTTTCTTCCATGTAATATCTTATACTCAATTGTGTATAGAAGGAGCTTGTAAGAGTGCCCTCCTACATAAATAAGCAATTGCAGTGTTTTGCACACAAAATTTTAAAAAATTAAATCATCCCGATTCTATTTCATAAATGGAGAAAAAAATCATACCTTTCTGAGCAGTAATGGAGGAAGACTAGTTCTTTGTGCATTTTTGATATATTTGAGTTCATTTTTCCACAGCATCATCCTTTTGACACAATTGGGTTTCTCATAAGTATCCTAGTTCATGTACATCCAAATGCTAAATAATACTGTGTTTAAGTTTTGTGTTGCAAGAACAAATGGAATAAACTTGAATTGTGCTACAGCTAAAAAAAACCAATGAATTATTATTGAAAAGCATAGATGCCATGATCTTATATCCATATGAAAAATTGAATGTGAATTGAATTGAATGTGAACTGTCCACTTTTTCCTGTGTATTGTTGGCTCCCTCATCATTCCAGTTGGATATTGTCACAAGATACTCTGAGCCTAGGGATTTGCACATTCTGTTTACCTTTTTAGAACAAACTCTTGCTCTTCTCACAGTACTATATACCCGTCTAACTATTTTTCTAGTCAGATCCTAATCATTTATAAGTACCTCTTCCTTTCAAATAGTGTAGCTACCTTAGGGTTTAATCTTCTGGACACTCAATGACATTCCTCTATTTCAATTGTTCATTTGAAATTGTGTTATGTCATATATGGTGATATTTTGGGTGAACTCTAGGGACAAATATATTGTAGCTATTCTGCACAGCCTGTCACACCACAAAAACTATGAACACGCTCACAGAATGTAATATCAGTGGATCATAGTTTAGGAATTCGGATATAGGAAATTCAATGCCTCTTGAAAAAACTAACATGAAACATCTGTGCTTTGTATCATAGTAAGATTATTAGTGGCTGTGGGACTGTTATTAGTTTCTTGATGGAGAGTAGTCTGAAATCCAGAAAGACCAAATAATTCTTAAAAGATGGAGCTTGTAAAAATAATTTTTATTTGTAACTAACAAGTGGGATAAAAGGATAAGACCCGTCCACTGGACCTGTGCAGAGGAGAAAAGGGCTTGAGATTGAGTTCAAAATCAAAACCAAAAAACCTAATCAGTCATGTCAATATACCATAAAATTTACTTGTAATGAAAGCTCTCTGGTTCAGTGTTGATGTTTAGCATCATCTGTGACCCAGATGTTCATACAATCCACTCCCCCTCTGTCTTGAGAAAATAATCTCTAGACATATCCACATATTGGAAGCCCTTGGCCTAACAGCTACGTCAGGCAGCTGAGCTAGCTGGATAACAAGATACAGAATGGGAAAAAAGTCCAGGCTCCTACAAAACCTGGAGGATGTTTTTCATTTCTCCACTTCTACAACCCAAACCAGGGTGGATAATTCTTCCTGAATATTTTGAACTCTGCCATTGCAGCTCAACTCTTTGTGTCCCATTCCACATGGTCTGCATACTGTAATGTGGATACATTATGCTGCTTGTCTGAAGGCAAGTTCTTCATCCATGAGTCTACTCAAACAACATCAGTTCTGCCCCTTTTGTGTTTCCATGAAAAATATATGGAGTCATATATCCTTATTTGAAGAAGCTATCATTCAATGACTCCAATGTATGCCTCAAACCCAACACTGGATATTAAAAACCATATAGACCACATGTATATTGCTTTTTCTTAGACATAAAAAAGTATGATAAAATTTAATTGATAAAGTTTGCACAGGTAAAGATTAAAAACACTACTCAATGCTGAACTACATATATAATAACAAACAACATGGTATAATCAGTGTCATGTAAATGATAGTTAATGTGGAGTGTCACATTGATTGTTTTGAGATATACCCAGGGGATTGGTGGGGTACACTTGTGGGTGTGTCTGCATGGGACATGGAGGTGACCTTGGTGTTTCTATCTGATCACTCACCCCTTCCTTTCTGTTCCCCTGCTCTGCTTCTATGCCACCATGAACTAAGAAGTTTTGCTCTGCCACATAGTTCCTCCATGATGTTGCTGTCTTGGGGCCAGCCAACCATTGACTGAATCCCTCACTGACATGAGCCAAAGCTTCCCCCTCTTTAGTATGGGGTGTTTCTGTGATGAGAAAGCTCACTAATCACTTAGCCAGTAGAGTGAAGTTTGATGTTTCTTTTTCTGGCATAGTATTGTAAAAAGTACTTTGCTTTTCAATAATTTCAAACTTAAAGGACATCCAGAATCAAGTTAGGAAGTACCCTTCATTTATTCATTCACCTTCTCCAGTGATTATTGCTTTTCCAGATTTGCAAGTCTATGTGAAACACTACCATGTATTTTACCCAAAGTAGAGACACTCCCAGTGACCACCTCAGAGCCCTTGTGCCAAGAAATTAAAGGGTTTCAACTTGAATAACCAATCCTTAGATTCCCTTCATTTTCACCATCTCTCTCGGCTTAGACAAAAATTCTTTTTTCCATCAGAGTCATGGTCCCTCAGCCAGTTCCCAGATTTGAGCCAGTACACAGATCCAGAACACCTTGAATGAAAGGGACCCCCAGTACCCTGGGGAAGGATCCTGATACACCACCAAAAATGTATATGGTCAATCTTTCTTGTATCCTTCCCCACAAGGACCTGAGGCATTTTACCAAAGTAACTGTACATTTTGGGAAGGGAAATGATCAGATATTTGGGGGACTACCCCACACTGGTTCTGCACTAATGCTGATTCCAGGGGATTCAGAATGTTATTGTGGCCCTCCAGTAAGAGTATGGTCTGTTGGAGGTCTGGTGATCAATGGAGTTTTAGCAAAGGTCTGACTTACAGTGGGGCTAGTAGGTTCTTGAATCCATCCTGTAGTCATTCCCCTGTTCCAGAATGCATAATTGGGATAGATACACTTAGTACTTGGCAGAACCCTCACATTGGTTCCTTAACCTGTTGTGTGAGAGCCATGATGGTTAGAAAGACCAAGCAAAGCCATTAGAGTTGCCTTTGTCTGGTAAAATAGTAAACCCAAAACAATGTCACATCTCTAGAGGGACTACAGGGAGTAGAGACACTAGCAAGGACTTGAACAATGCAGGGGTGGTAGTCCCCACTATGTATCCATTTAATTCTCCTATTTGCCCTGTGCAGAAGAGGGACTGGCCTTGGAGAATGATGGTAAATTATCATAAAGTGAATCGAGTGGTAATGCTAATTGCAGCTGCTGTACCAAATGTGGTTTCCTTGCTTGAGCAGATTAACACATCTCTTGGTACTTGATGTGCCGCTATTGATTTGGTAAATGCCTTCTTCACACCTATCCATAAGGCCCATGAGAAACAATTTATTTTCAGCTGGCAAGGGCAGCAATTTACCTTCACTCTAATACCTTGGGGTTATATTATCTCTCCAGCCCTGTGTCACAACTTAGTTCACAGGCACCTGATCGCCTTTGTCTCCCACAAGGAATCACATCGGTCCATTACGTTAATGATATTACGATGATGGGACCAAGTGAGCAGGAGTTAGCAACCACTCCGGATTTGTTAGTAAAGCATTTGAGAGCCAGAATATGGGAAATAAATCCAACTAAAATTTAACATTCCTCTACTTCAGTGAAATTTCTAGGAGTCTTCTGGTATGGGGTATGTGGGGATAACCCTTCTAAGGTAAAAGATAACAAAAAACACTTTTTAGGGCATGTTTTCCACATGATCCTGCCCATCTTCAGTAAAAGTAAGAGAACTATTATTCTTTCACTTTTTAAAACTATGCAGAATATGAAGGTTTATTTCAAAAAAGATTGCATTTTTTTAACCAGGTTACACAGATGCACTTAATGTAACAGTACCTTCTTCAAAAATAGGTTACATAATACTCAGAAATTCAAAGAACAATCTTACTCTCTAAAAATTAGACAGCAGACTTTTTAAGTTTAGACAGCCTTCAAAATGGAGGCAGACAATGCTTGGTGACACGAAGAACATCCAGAGCCTGGCACCACAGCGCCAATGCAGCAAATTATCCACTACCACAGAGCTGCAAACTACGCCTCGTATTCACACAGCCTTCAACAAAACAGCTTTCATACCCATCTTTTCAAATGTGTATTGGTGCTGTAAGAAAGGAAAGTTGAATGATACACAAAACTATTAAAAATTACAACAGAACTATTTAAACATCTTCTCTAAAATTGAGAAAAGAATCATGTTAATTTTTTTAAAAAAGAAAATGAAAAATCTGATGGAACTCTCAAGCAGGTCAGAGGGTCCTCTTCTTAAGTAGTTAAAGTTTACAGGAGATTTCAATAAATTATCTTGAAACCATGGCAGAGAGCTCATTTTCAAAATCGCCGTGGAGGTCCACCCTTAAATGGCTTAAATCCAGAGCCACTTCCTCTTGGCATGGAACTGCCTCCAATCTGCACTATTCTATTAATTAGAGATTCATTACTCAAGTGCTGGCTCATCATGCCTGAGCCTGCCCAGCGGTCGTCCATTCGCCTCGTGTTATGGTAGCCAGGCCCTTGAGAAGGTAAGGTGGAGCGTGCCACTCTTTCCTTGGTCCACTTGTGTCGCGTCCATGGCAATCAACCACGTGTGGTTCTTCAGGGTAGTGCTGGGCTCCACTGCCCCGGTCTGAGATGACTCCTCCGTCGCCCTCTCGGCCACCATACCCGAAGCATTACTGAGACTCCCAGGCGGAGCGTCTCTCACACCGTGTCCTGACACGTCCCTGCCGGAGCGCTCTGACCTTTCAACTCTTGCGTTCCGCTTGTCCGCAGACATGCTCCCTTCGCCCTTCCGGGAGGCGGGTCTGGAAGGGCTGTGCCCGGGTCCCGGGGGTGTCTCGGGTGCGCCATGTCGGGCCTGTTGTGCGTGATCACTGTTCTCCTCTTGTCTCGCTCCCCTCGCACATCTCTTCTGTCTGTTCTAAGTTCGTTTCGTGGAGGAGGCGGCTCATTTCTTCTTGAATCACTGAAATTTGGGGGGTATCTCTCAAAGCTGGAATCTTCTCTTCGTGCAGTTGGCCTTGCTTTTTTCCTTTCACTCTGACCAGCAAAGCGTTCCTGCCTAACAAAAGAGGAAGACTATAGCGCTGAGCTGTCAGGAAACCTGCCCCTCTCCCGGTGATCAAAGTCATTGAATCTGTTCTGTTGGCGAGAGTAGTCGGATCCGTGGCTGAATCGGGCACCTGTGTCTAGAGACAACTTTTTATTCTCGCTCCAGTAGGGGTCATCTCGCCTCTGATCTACATCACGTGGGCGTGTCAGAGAATTCCTTTTTTCTTGTTCATAATGCAGCTGCTGCTGCTGCTCCCTTCTGAGTTCCTCTCGTTCT